TATATAGTTTTTACATTTATATACTTGTAATACTCACTTCGATGGGTAGGTAACACAAATCTATTGTGCCATTAGACGCAAATTCAAAAGTGACCTGGATAATGGATAGGTGTGTATACTGATAGTAAACTAGAAGGAAACGTGGTTTGGCAAAGCATTGATTCAGCTGAATATCTTCCCTTACATGCCTTACATCTATGCTAAGAGTGGGTCTGGGTTGGATCCCTTGGTTCTACCTCCTCCCACTCTCAATCGCACACTCTACTCCGTGGCGTGTAGACATATGTAGATGCCCGGGGCCAACTCAAGATATATATATGTGTGTGTGTGTGTGTGTGTGTGTGTGTGTGTGTGTGTGTGTGTGTGTGTGTGTGTGTGTGTGTGTGTGTGTGTGTGTGTGTGTGTGTGTGTGTGTGTGTGTGTGTGTGTGTGTGTGTGTGTGTGTGTGTGTGTGTGTGTGTGTGTGTGTGTGTGTGTGTGTGTGTGTGTGTGTGTGTGTGTGTGTGTGTGTGTGTGTGTGTGTGTGTGTGTGTGTGTGTGTGTGTGTGTGTGTGTGTGTGTGTGTGTGTGTGTGTGAGTGTGTGTATGTATATAAAGCTTAATTAAAAATTAAAGTTAATACATAGAAAAGCATTTTTAAAAATTGTACTTAGTAAGACGAAAACATTGACTACGGCTACCCAAGGAATGAACAACTCAAATGTTTTAATGGGTGAAACTTCGGGGCGGGGAGACATTTGGGGGACATGTCGAGTGTGTGTTGGGGGGAGGGGGGGGGGGGGGGTTATATGCCATGCCTACTATAGAGTCTCATCCGGTTTTGTAATACCGTGCGGGACAGCAGTAACGCCTTTATTTATAGGCTTTTTCTCTCTTCGCCTGTTTGGAAATTCCTATAGTGCAATTAATACAGATGAGAGTGTGCCTTGAACTAGAGATGTTTCGCATTTGTATCTATAACCACTCGGTCAAAAGGTCAATGTTTTAACTTTTAAGTAGATGTGATGCTAGGTACTCTAAAAAAATTGAATCTTGAATATAACAAAAGTGTACCTAGGTCGGCTAAAGCTGCCAGCCATATCACACCTTGATGCTTTAAAAAAAAAAAAAAACCCACTTCTACATCGGACTGTGTCTAAAAATCCACTGTGCTATGTCAGACCCTCCCTACAACTTGGACGTGTTTTCCCAAATTTAACACCCACGTAACGCCTTTTGTCCAGTTCAGTGGGGGGGGGGGGGGGGGGGTTGAATCCACTAATGGTGAACATGGCCTGAACCCATCTACATAGGTCTTTCTATAAAAGTCTTGCGATTCGGACAGTATAATGTCAAAACGATGGATAGACGATTGGGTATTACACTTTGTACTAAGCGAGATTGGCTAATTAATAAAATGACACAATACATCTAAAAAAATTACAACAAAAAAAAAAAAACGTCGTTGGATACCCGGGGCTTGCCTCCCCCCCCCTCCCCGCCCGCCTCTGACTCTCCTTTAGAAGAACGATTTTCCTACCCTATCCAAGATCTGCCCATCAGCTCCTGTCAAATTCATTCTGTCAGTGTCTGACTGACACAACAGACACAAGTATAGTCGTAGCAGTACAGAGGGAAGTTAATGTCTGTCATCGCGATGGTCAAACAGGGATTGTCTATTCCGTTTTTCCACCTACAGTTCATTGGAGTTGTAATGTCCATTAATGAGATCAATCATATTACACGGTTTGTGTACAAAAAAGTGTTCCAAAGATTACTTATATAAGTTGAAGAACGTTTATTTTTAAGCAAAAGTCGAATGTAAACAAGTCTGAATACCAATATTTCTTGAATACATGTTTTATAGTAGACCTATAGATACATAGGCTTTTTTGTTACTATTGCGATAGGTGAGATGTATTAGAAAAAAAGTTAATCACTAGACGATCCACGGAGTAAATAGGGTAGAGTTGACGCAGTTTCTGTGAAGAGAAGGTGTGGTCAGCAACATACACAGTCGGCTTTAGTATACCCAAAAACAGCCAGGTACTCATTAGTGCTGAGTGGACTCAGGGACTTTCTTTAAGGAACGGAACTCATGTTTTTGGTTTCGCAATAGAAAACCACTACAGGGATATCACAGGAGACGGCAAATTACACAGCCTAGGACCAATGTTCCCTCTAAGGGGGAAAAGCTAGTGTGCGAAATGTATTTTCTATGCGCGGTGTTCTAAAAGTCTTATACAAGGATATATTTATTTTACAACATCACTGCGCGGCAGTTCAAAACTACTGCGCGGCCGCGCAGCTTTGAGGGAACATTGCTGGGAACAGACAGAATGGAAGTTTTTGCTTGGGACACTGCTTCACTGTTACGGGTTATTTGTAGGTCGAGTTAGAATATTCCAGAAGTCAAGGGATAGTGCGTATACGTTAGGTTACGTTTGCCTGTTGTCCCTTCTGGGACATAGGCCGCTGACAAGAGCTTTCCAGACGTCTCTGTCAAGGGCTAGTCTCTCCAACTGTCCCCAGGGGTATCCAATCTTCTTGGTGTCTTCTTCCAGGTCACGTCTCCAGGTCTTTCTTGGTCTGCCTCTCCTCCTCCTGCCTTGTGGATTCCAGGTGAGGGCCTGTCTTGTTATGCTGGATACGGGCTTCCTGAGTGTGTGACCAATCCATTTCCATTTTCTCTGCCATAGAACATCATTTCTGATGGTTTTAGGCCAGCGAATTCGCAGGATCTTTCTGGGGCATGCGTTTATAAATGATTGTATTTTCTTCTTATTTATAGCAGTTATTCTCCATGTCTCAGCTCCATAGAGTAAAACAGGTTTTACTAGTGTGTTGAAGATCCGGAGTTTTATTCCAAGGGTTAAATCTCCAGAACCCCAAACATTTTTTAGTTGGTTGAAGACTGCTCTTGCCTTGCCCGTCCTTATTTTTATGTCTGCTTCTGTCCCACCCTGCTTATCAACAATACTTCCAAGGTAGGTGAATCTATCCACTTCTTCTGCCAGTGTTATAGGGTTGCTGTTTGATGCATAGACTTTGAGAACTTTACTTTTCCCTCTGTGGATGTTCAGACCCAGGCTTGTAGAAAAATTTGCAACCCTGTTGGTTTTATCCTGCATTTGCTGATGTGTGTGAGAAAGAAGGGCCAGGTCGTCAGCAAAGTCCAGGTCATCCAGCTGGCTCCACAATGTCCACTGTATACCGTTTCGCGTTTTCTCTGTTGACATCTTCATAACCCAGTCTATGGCCAGTAGGAACAGGAATGATGAAAGTAGGCAACCCTGCCTTACTCCAGTCCGTACTGGGAAGGCCTCTGTAGTCTGTTGGCCATGCACTACTCTACATTCGACCTATGGGGTAACAAATATAAACACACGGGGTTAAACTCAATTCACAGACATAGATGTAAGGGAAGATATTCAGCTGAATCAATGCTTTGCCAAACCACGTTTCCTTATAGTTTACTATCAGTAGACGCACTATATATATATATGTATATATATATATATATATATATATATATATATATATATATATATATATATATATATATATATATATATATATATATATATATATATATATATATATATATATATATATAACTAAAATAGCAAAGATTTGTAGTGGATTGATGAGTAGATAAAACAATTTTTTGTATTAAAGCTTTTTGTGGCTGAGGTGTCACGTCATTTTTAGGAGGGGGGGGGGGGTCTGGCATTTTGTGACGATGTAAAAATCGTCCAAAAAAGCGTGACGTCATTTATGATGAGCCCTTATAGACTTAGAATAAAGATCTAGATCTATAAATTGTTTTTAACCTAATATTTTAAACAAATATTAAACCATTTATAATAACACACTTTAAAATGCACTTAAATAATGAAAATAAGAAATTTTTTAATAAAACAAGCACGCTTTCTTTTATAAACGCTTGGGGTAATCCATAAATGACGTCACACACGTAGGGGGGAGGGGGGGTCCGTAATTTTGTGACGATGTGTGATGAGGGGGAGGGGGGGGGTCAGATGTTGCGACGTCACATTTTTGCATTATAAAAAAGCGATGTTAGAAAACGAATTTTAGACGTTATTTCGCGTTTTAGATAACTGTTTTAATAAATTGTAATAGTTTAGACAAGATTTTGGAAAAATATCAATGTTTTAAAAAAATTCAACTGCAATTTTGAGGGGGGTTTGTAGGTTGAGGTGTGACGTCATTTTAGGGGGGGGGGGTCTGGCTTTTTGTGACGAAGTGTGACGTAGGGGAGGGGGGGGGGAGGTAAAAATAGTCAAAAAAAGGGTGACGTCATTTATGGATGACCCCCTTGTTTTATTTACTATTTTTCAGTGCATTTAAAACTTTGATATTTTAAAGGTTTTCATACTTGTTCTATTTTCCACCCTTTAGATCTAGAATCTAGTCATTCGTTCGAAATGAAGTTGACAATACATAGGCTACGACTAATATTTCCGTTAAAAAAACCAGATAAGTAGCTTGTGAGACTTGTGATGTCTCAAAGTTAAAAGACAGTTATGTGCCCATGCTCCACCCGTGTTCCACGCGTAGGCGAGAAATCAGCCAACCATAACTATCAGTCCACCTTCGACAGTTAGCTTTTGAGTGATTGCTAGTATTTAGTCTTGTTATTTCCCTTAAAAAAACGGTTAAAACTGATTTTTTAATGTCTAATTAATTAAACATCTAATTTATAAATATTTTTTTTCTTGCATTGTCATCGAAGAAAGTTCGAGCAAAATCGATTGATTAGAAGTGGGTCAAAATTGAGTTAAAAGTAGTTAAAAGATTTACCACAAACAAACCAACAGACGCTGCAAACTAAATAAAAGCTTGTAGATAAATATTTCAAAATTAGATATAGACCTCGATCTAGATCTAGAATCTAGATTTTTATAGCATCTAGATCTAGTCTAGATCTTGACTTCAAAATAAATAATAAATTGTTTTCTAAAGTTTTTAAAAAAGTTTTCCTCAAGCCCGGCAAGTGCAAACACGAATTTCACGCAGACAAATTGAGAGAAAGCCCGTGGCAGAATATTCTATGAAGCTTTCATTAATAACATATTGAACATCAATGAAGTTGTATAAAAATTAAAGGATCGTTGATGGCGTAACTTAGAAGTCATTATTTCATTGTTTTAAGTTACTGTTATTGTGCATAATTCTGTTACTGTTAGATCTAACTTGGTATTGGTAGTTTTGCCAGGCTTCTGCTAGCATTGCGTAATTTTTCACGTAAATTACCGCAAGATACAATGGTAATGAAATGAAAGAGAAGAAAATGAACTAATTTTAATTCTTATCCACATAAATGTAACAAATATTATCGAGCTTAGTTGAGATATAGATCTCTAGCTCTAGAAAGAATTTCTAGATATAGTCTAGATTAGATCTAGACTAGAATAGAATCTAGATCTAGATTTAGAAATCTAGATCTAGATTAGAATATAATATTTATTAGATCTAGATACTAGATAGATCTAGATCTAGAATCTAATTCTAAATCTAGAGAAAATCTAGAATCCAAGATCACTAAATTAATAAAAATTATTAGATCCTAAATTAAATAGTTTTAAATTCAATGAATAGGCTAACACAGCTAACTGAACTGGCTAAAACTTATTTTCTTTGTAGGATTTTAAAAAATATTTTAAAGTTATTTTTAAAAATTTCGGTAATCTATTGTTTTAGGTAGGCCTGCGTAAAATTGCCCGCGACTAGTAATGTGAAAAACAGGTGACTCCTTAAATTTTAATAATTATTTCACATTTTGAGGAGGATATATGTTTTGAAAAATACAAAAATGTTTCCTTGTTTCATTTATGTACATGTTTTTAAACAGTTGAATTAAAACTTTTCAGTAATAAATGAAGACTAGCGATGTTTCCAACAGATGCAACCATGCTCATTTACTATAGCAGACATATTTTCTAAGTTTGTTTTCATGTAAACTTATAGCGCGAGATTCAGGGGAAGCCACTCTATTTTACAAATGGCTGCTGTTTATATAGCAAATCTTGCTCGCAAACACTGCTGTTTAAAGTTAATTTCTGGCCTATATTGATATATTTAGCCATTGATTTAGGTTTATTATTCATTTATCTATAATATTTGACACAAATATATCACAATATACTTCTATTAAAGCCTTGACAATGAGGTAACTTTTTCGTACATTACTAGCCGCAGGTGATTTTACGTACCTAAAACGATAGATTTGGTTAAAATATTATAATTTGTTGGCTTCATGATTAGGCCTATTAAAAAGACAAGTTCCCTTTTCGAACTTGACAGCCCAAGGGGCAAGTGAAGTAGAATTCACCTGTTTGTGTGACCGTGGCATATAAAGGGATAGTGTGGTCATTACTATGTCCAGCTGCCCATACTCTCCCTAACTTGAGTTAGGTCTCCAGGAAGCTCTACAGGCTTGAACTAGTTTTGAACTAGGCCACACCATCCCATCATTAGGCCTACAAGTTCATAGATTATTTTAGATTCTGTGTTGAAAAATTATTTGAAGCTAGATAATTAATGTTACTAGATCGAATACTATGTTAAAATCATATCGTTTTGTTTATAAAAAAAAATGTGGGCTTTAACCTACTTTAAGTGTTAACTTTTAAGGTCTGGCTGTTTTTTTTTATAGTGTTTTAATATATTGATAGGCTACGTTTATGATGTACGTTATTTCCAAGCAACCATCTTTAGATATTCATGTTGAAGTGTTTGAGTTTGTGTTTTGAATTAAGTGTTCATTCTTTTCAATCTTTCTGAATATCTTAAAAAAGAAATAAGGTGATCTTTGTTTTTCTATTACTGCATCTGTATTTCTTGTTAACCAGTATACATTTAATCCCTAGAAATGACAGAACATACAAAACATTATTCCCTGATTGATGCCGGTCTCAGTAACATTTGGTCCCAGCACCTGCCCGGTGATCTGGAGTCTCTGAGCTTGCATGGCAACTGCATCAAGCACATCAGCAACCTCTCCCACTTGCTGCATCTGGTGCATTTAGATCTCTCTGCTAACCAGATATCAGTCATTGATGGATTAGAAAAGCTGACAGCATTGAAGACATTGAATTTATCATGCAATCTTATTACTGTTGTCACTGGTCTTTCTGGTCTCAGGTAGGAATTGTTTAGAATTATGTTGAACAAAATATCTTCAACTCAGAATATAAACAGCAGAAAATTGTTTGATTTCTTTAGCAATTTATTCATATTTTATTTTTATCAGCAATTCTTCTTTTCGATTTTATTTTAAAATTGTTAGATTCAGTAATATTTTTTTTTTCATTGCTGAACTATAAATTCTAAAGTTTATATTTAAAAAAATTTAGAAACTGAGCTAAGTATTTTTTTTTCTTTCTAAATGTGGTACACCTGAACAGAGAATAAGTTAAAATCTTATATTTATTTACTATATTCAGTTTAAAGTATAAGATGGTGTTTTTAAAGTCCCTGTAATCTGTTTAAATTGGTCACTGCTGATTTTTTGTTTTCAAATATTTGAACATTGTTTCTTTTTCATGACATGTAATTTGTATACCATTTTTCAGGTCTCTTGAAAGTCTGAACCTCAGCTATAACCAGGTTGAAAATCTAACAGGCCTTCAATGTTTCTCAGAGCGGTCATACCATCTGAGTTACCTTTCAGTTCATGGGAACAAGTTAAGGGATGTAAAACATGTGATTAAGTCACTGAAAGACATTCAAAGCTTGCACCATTTAGTTTTACGACAAGAAGGTTCTGCCAATCCACTGTGCTTTCAACAAGGTTACTCTTTGCAATTGTTTTAATATTATTTTAAAATAATATGCAGTTTAATTACTTGGGGAGTGTTTGAAATTCCTACACTCTGTGTTAAAAACATTTATTGATTGGTCTTTTCATTACCAATAATTATTATTAGACTTGGCTTGTTTGGCTGTGTTGCATATTTATGCTGTATAAACATTAAACAACTAAAATAAAAAAATTAAATCCTGATACTATACCGAATAAATACCTAAACAATTTTGGTTGTACATTTATTTTTTGCCATGACAGGTTATGAAAAAGAGATATGGTCCAATATGCCTCAGCTTAAAACATTAAATAATTTTGACAAGGCTGGAAATTATAAAAGGAACCTCGACTCAGTCTCTAATGTGCTAGGTTAGTATCCTGTTTCACTATTATGAGTAACTTAATAGTTTAGTTGAGCTTACACTCCACATAACTAAAAAGTTTCCTATTTCTGATTGATTTAATGTGGTGATTTGTGACAATGAGGAGGGTTTTTATGGAAGACCTTTGGCTAATATTCCCTTATAATATTACTAGTAACAGTGTCATCTCTTAGTAACTTTTATGTATTTGAGATGTATTTGACATGAACATCAGCTTACCTGAGTAATTACTATTACCTAGTTATTTCCCTTTTGTTAATTTTTTATGACTAATTGAATATTCAATTAGATTGAAAATGAGATTGTTTGTTTTTTATATTTACTTTGTCATTGGTAATGAATTTATCTTGAAACTTGAAAGAGATAGCTCCATAAGAAATACATACAAATTTAGATTTAACAACAGGACCTCAAAGAAACATATGGACTTTGTGCCCAAAGTAAAAGCTTGTAAAAAGTAAAAAAAAAAAAACTACCTTACATGAGGTGATGGCCAGTTAAGCAAATGAAGTAGATTTTACCTTTTTATGTAACTTCTGTATGGTGTGGTCAGCACTAAGCCCATATAGAATTACTTTCCAAAGGTTTAGTCACTGGTTGATGGGCTCAGAGATGATTTAATTTTAAATTTACTCAAAAGCTATGTAAAAATTTTTACTATTAAGATCGTTTACCACAATATACTTTGTGTATACAAATTTTCAATAGTTTAGTTATGTTTTCATATCCCCAAAGCCATCATTTTCTTGACCAATGTTCACAAACCTATCCTAGGTTTGGAATCTTTTCTGGATTTCCTCTTGTTAAGTGACAAAGAGCAAGAATCACAGGTAATAACATTCTTTTTGTCATTTATAAATTAACAGTCAATTAAATATCACACTGTGTTTTTGGCTTGTTTGGGTTTTGTCAATAAAAATCAGTTATTGTATTGCTGATGTGCAAGTGTAAGGTTATCTTACCATACACAAGTAATTTTTAAAATGCTCGTTTACTTAAAATAATAAAAGTTTATTATTCAAATAACCTTAGCATTGTAAAAGATCATTTATTTTCAGTAACCCTATCATTAAAATATGTTGAAGTTCTTTGTTTATAAAATTCCTATATTTCCCTAGAATTAATATGTGTAGTTGGCACTGATAAAAATTCTTTCATCTTTCAAATGGCTCTCTTAACTCTATTTTCATCAAAATAAGTTTGCATCCTTTGTGTTCATATAATTCCTATAACATTACTATTTTTTTACTTACCAGCCTATGTGTAGTTGGCTCTTCTAAAATTCTATAATCTTTTATAGCCCCAGCAGGCAGAGTCCCCAGTACTTATCACCCCCAAGATTGATGCTGTTATAGAACAGTTTAAGCAAAGGTACAATCAGGAGACCAGCTCATCACCTGACCATTCCAGCTCATCTCATCTGTTTTCAGCTCAGAATTACAGCCCAAAAAAAGTCAAAAGTAAAAAGGTGGGTCTCTTGACAATGGTCTATTGTATCATGTTATAAAAATTGTTACAATTGTTTGCATTGTTACTTTTGTCACTTAAAAGTAGTTAAGCACTCTTATATAGTAATGCATGTCAAGAATTAACTAGCTTTGAATTTAAATTAGTTATTGGCTTGTCATTGACAATATTTTTATTCTTGGGCAAGAACCTAAGTTTTTGGATAAGAATATGTCATTAATAAAACATTTTTATTTTATTATGTATGTGTTTGATACTTGGATAACATTTTTTTATATTGTTTTTACAATTTTTTGTTAATTGTCTAGGCACATTTTTAAAAGCAAAATTATTTATAATTCTTTTTTTTTTTTTTAGTTTTTATAAATTGTGTGTTAAGCAAACACATGGTACATGTCTAATGTTTCTACCACTACTTTCAGATGTTACCTAAGAAAGATTTAAACAATTCACACAGTAGAAAACTTTCTAGTGAAAGAAATAAAAAAAGTAAGTTATTTTAACACCTGTTATTTTCATTTTGTAATAAATAATCAATATACAAAATATTCAATTTTTTTTTCCCGTAAAAATGTTTCCTATCTAGACAATAGCTTTAACATTTCTTAGCTAAACAAGAGAATAAAAATGTGATTTTAATATCGTGAAGAATATTAAGTATTTTCTATAATTTGATTTTCATGAGCTGTGTACCAAGACAAAAGATTCTTCAGAAATATATTTGTTGTTAATTGTAGTCTGAGGCTTAATGTCTATACAATTTACCTTATTGTCTTAAATATCTGGTTACTATAATATCTTCATATGTAATTAATTAATAAAAAATTGTCCCTTAATAATTTCTTATTTTAAAAATTTTGATTTTTTAATAGGACCACTTTAATGCATTTCAAATGGTGAAAAAAATTGTGTCAAACATTTTTCTTAAGACATTGTTTCTCAAAACTGTTTAGATCAATTTATGGTTGCTTGGATGGTATTTGTGAATAGACCAGTGATTGTTGATGTTGCTATAAAGGTGCTAATGCATATAGGGAAGAAAACTATTTAATTGTCAAATACAGACATTTCAGAAAAATGAAACCAATTTAAATTTATTGATTTGATCAATAGAAGCAGCATCTGAATCAACAGAATATGATGATGAGAGTGCCACCATTAGTAGTCAACCAGAAACACAAAGTGAACATCGTAAGAAGCCAGTTATATCATACAGGTAAGGGATCAAATTTATTAAACACCAATTACTACTTTAACCTTAATCTCAGGCAATCAAGCTTTATTCCCTTAGACTATCTTAGCTACAGGACTAGAAAAACAATATTTGTTTGTTATGACAGTACAACTAAGTTTTCATTTCTATTCTAATGTCATTGATTTCAAGATCTTATTCTATGTTATCACTTATCTTTTTTTAGACTGTCAAATTAATTTCACTTTCAGACTGCTTTAAAATACATAATGTATGCTTAGTCACATATCCTAACCTCTCATTCAGAAATAGTGGACAAAGGCCATAGAAGTGAATCCAGAAAGAAAAGCAGGCTGAAGTCAGAGTCAATGGGCATATGGTGTATAACATGTTGACATGTAATACCTATTTATGTTAAAGGGAATCCCCTCCAATGTTACAATGAAGAACAACCAAGAAGTATTTATTTATTTTAGAAGCAAATTATATTTTGTTGTTAATTAAAATGTTTAGCAGCAGTAATTTTAAAAATACGTAATGTATGCTCCATCACATGTCTTTACCTGTCCCCACCCCAGAAGGAGAAAAACAGCCTTTATGTGAAAATCCCTTCTTCCACATAGCCGTACTGTTGCAGCTCAAAATGGGAATTAATGCAATTGAACAATGATATGATAAGGGAAGCAAGATGCAGGATAATAGGATATCTTTTACTCCTATAACTACCTGCTGTTTTTACTTTAAAGAATCATTTGTTGATGGTATTTCTTTTAGGAGAATGTTTTTAAACTGTTGCTAATAATTTCAAGAGTAACATTTCAACCCAAACTACAATACTGTAATATGCATAAAAAGCGCATTAGCTATCTTTCATTGTCCTTTTGAAGTGGAAAATCTACCCCTTGATCAAACACTACCTAGCACAGGAGGCACCTTGACCCTGGACACATAGTACTGTCATGACATACTTTTATTCCGTATAAGGGAATTATATTAAACTATATTAAAAATTGAGGTATATTTTCTGTGGGTGCTTCAGGGTAGAAATCCATGGCCCATCAGTCATTTTTGGCGATTCTTATGAGGATGACTTGTTCCTCTGGAATGCTTAAAGATTTTGACCCCTGTCAGTTGTTCTTTATTAAATTTATTTATTATTTGTCCATTTCTGGTTATATCTAGTAACACAATACTTTTGCAAAAAAAAGGAAATTTTCAGCAATGTTGCACAAATGGAGGCTTTGGTATAGCTCTGTTAAGACTACTGTTAAATAACACTCTGTGCCTTAGCCAAGGGTGTACAAATTTGTCTTTTTGGGATACCCATCTCTTGTAAGATGACCTCTTCAAGCACTAGCTCGTCAACTATAAACTACTAGCCATCGGTACCCGTTTTTCATGTTTTGTCATAATGCGCACGCAGTTTGCAATAGCTTATAGTAGAGTGATCGCTTGCATTATTTTCTACTTTTTAGTTCAATCAGAAAACGTGGGTTTTTAAAATTTTTTTTAATGATAATTATTTTCTACTTTTTAGTCTTTGTCTGTTTGTTTGCATTCAAATCTTGCTATCGATTTTATCTTCTCGCATTCACTTTTTTTTTGGGTAAACGAAGACAAACACTCACAAAGGACGAACACAAAGATAAAAGGGACTTATACCATGCATGACACACTTATTATTCAGGATCAGCTGGAGGTTCGTGTCGACGCATTCTTTCCATCTCCTGTAGACATTCCTCATTGCAGGGTTTTTTTCCTGTTAGCTTGCTGCAATCCAATTCCACAATGCGTAAGTCTTCGAGTGATCGTACTCGACTGAGCGCAGCATACGCCTGGCCCGTTTCAAAAAGCGCTGGTCCTAAATAGACAACTGCCTGATCAACTGTGCAGCCTTGCATTTTATGCACTGTGCATGCCCAGCATAGAATTATGGGCGATTGTCTTTGCTCGACTTTTCCATAATTCAGTTTTCCATCAAATTCTACGCATCTCGGCTCAATCGGATGGATTCCATCTGGCCCAAAGTCAATGCTTAAGTCGGGAATGTCTTTATCAATCTGGTCGTGTCTGAAATTTTGCCAATGAATTTCTGTAATGTTGCCGATTACACCATTAACCAGTCCCTTTTCAACGATGATGTTCGCTCTCAACATCACTTTAGCGCCGAGGAATATTTCCATTTCCTTTTGCAATCCTCCAGTCTTATTTATATCGTTCCTGCTAATTTTGCGAGATCCAATTCTTTGATACGCAATCCTTCCAACGAGCGAACTCTGCTTAATGCGACGTAAGCCTGTCCATCCGCAAAGAGCTTGCTTCCTAGGTTCACCACAGCTTTGTCCACGGTACATCCTTGCATTTTGTGAACTGTGCACGCCCAGCACAGAATCAATGGGAGCTGTCGTCATTCAACCTTTCCTTTATTTCTTACGGCATCAAACTAAACAGACTTTGGTTGAACTATTTTCTCACCATACGGGGGACCAAAATCGATTTTGACATCTGGAATGTCTTCCTCATACATTTGCGTACGTTGAGTGTTGTTGCCCCACTGTATTTCGACGATTTGACCCATCGCTCCATTTACGAGTCCTTCTTCAATACAAACGTTATAAGGCAGCATTACTCGAGCGCCGACAAATATTTCAACGTACTGCTGCAGGCCTCCAGTCTTGTCGGTATCTTTAGAAATCATATCCTCAATTTTAGGGTCCTTAGTGTTTTTAGGAGCTTCAATGATTTCATCCTGTGCCTTAATTTTGTATACCCGAGTTCCGTTGCTACGATTTAGTTCAAGTACAGCATCGTTGTGTTTTTGAACTTGCGCCTTTGTTGGGTTGATCCGAATCGCCTTGTCGACGGCAAAATCACTACAAAGATCCTCATTCGTGAGCATTTTTGACAAGAGCAATTCAAAATGAGACTCTTTAAGCTCTCCAACTCGCAGGGCGTTCAAAAGATCGGCGAATCTAGTGTCTTCTCGTTGTCGCATGTTTTCAGTTAATTCCAATAAAGTGAATTCTCTCCATAAGTGTGAGGCAGGAACATATGACAAAGGCTGATGAAATACTTGTGCACCTCTGACTGGCGGCAGTTGCATCAAATCACCAAACACGATGACATTCAGACCTCCAAACACTTGATCTGGGTTATTCTTCAGCTGTCTTAATCGTGTGTCGATTTTACTCAGTGTTTGATACGACACTATACTTATTTCGTCGATGAAGAGAAATTCAATGTTTTTCCATTGTTGTCGCATTACCTTCAAGTATCTTCCCGTCAGCTGATCCATATTTTTTGTTGGAACTCCAGTCTTCTCAATCGGTAATTTGAGGAGACTATGCAGTGTCGATCCACCTACCAGTAAAGCAGCAATGGAATGGACACCCACAGGTGTGTAGCTACCGTAGCTGGCGTGGAGATCTACTCACGAATCACGTGATGGTCTGGGGTTGTCAACAAACACACGGACACGGTAACACATTGTTAACGGTGACACAGTTGGTACGCTGGGCAGAGTGGGTGGGTGATCAAAACAGTAAACAAGGACAAAAGTACTTTTTCTATGTGGGTGTGTTTTGAAGTTAAAACTTGAATTTTGACATTCTATACAACATCCCTCAGGAGTGCTGTGGTTTTGGGGCTCCCGGTCAAAAACCCCCTGGACATAAACCCCCCGACATAAACCCCCTGGACAAAAACCCCCTGCGACATAAACCCCCTGGACAAAAACCCCCCAATCGAGGTTTATATAAGGAAAAACCAAAGGTGACGAGAAACAAAATTAATATAAAAATACAAAACAAACATTAGGAAAAAACTTTTATTTTTATTATAACTTTAAAAAGACAGATTGTGAGCGATGCCTCGCAAATACTCAATAATGGTGGACTCATTAAAATTTTTAACAACAGTTAAAATTCGAGAGCTGCTATCAATATATATGTTTTTTTCTGTTTTGGTAAACAGTGACCTGAATTAATCTGTGTACAATAAACCTCTTGGAGAGATTGTTCCTTTTTAATAAAGTCAATAAATTTCCAAATATTTGGGTGGCAACATCCCATATGTGACTGAAAACTTCTGTGCCAGCCTTCAACTGAGTTGTTTAATTTTGGCATATGGTCTTCTGCACGTGTGTGCATGTTCCACATGTCAAGTGGAAACATAGGTTGTCTTCGACCTCGACGTTGTGGTCTGCCAATATAGTAGTCCTCAAAGTAGTCTGCAATCGGCATTGCTTCTTGGGGGAAAATTTCCAATAATTTTTCAAAGGCATAACTCATGTGATCGATGGGAACAAATGGCAACGCAGGTAGCATTCTGAGCTTGAGAGCAAATTCAATATCAACTTGGTAGAGTTGTTGAAGGCCAGAGTCCTGAATTTTTCTGTATATATTTTGGCTAAGATGGAAGAAACATCATTTTACCTCACACTCTGGAAATACCCTTTCAACACTTTTTATCACAGCCATTTCAAAGTAAATCATAATAGAAATTGGTTGCAGGTTTGTGTTTAAGACCGTTAGCTGCTGTAAGAGTGCTGTGTATGTTTCCTGTGTTTTGTTTTGAAGCAAGGCATAAACACATGGAACAGTGCGTCCATTGACCAATGCATGGACTGTGTACAGTTGTGAAAACAATGCAGGAGCTGTTTTGAATGTACCATCCATAAACCAGTGCTGATTAACCTCCAATAACCTAAGGTTGTCCTTGGTTCCAAACAAAAACATCCTACCTTTTGATTTGGCACTGGAATCGAACAGAAGAAATTGTTGTCCATCTTGTGTCATTGTATATTGTTCAGGAATGATTATATCATCAACATTCCTTGGATCAGACAGTGGGTGTTTTAGCGTTTGACGTTGACGCCTGATGTTACGCTGTATGTGTGGAACCGAGGGCAGCTTGGCCTTGGCATCTCCACTAATCGTAGTAATGGACTGAGTGATGATCTGCTGGGGTGTTGCTTCAGTTTCTTCTGCCAGTTGTTTCATCTGCTGCACTACTTTACACACTTC